ACGAGGCGAAGATTGAAGAAGGAGAAAAGAGAGAGGGACGGTCGGAAAATAAAAGCGGCCACAAAAGAGTGGTCGGTCGAAGGGATAAAACGGTGGGCGAGAAAGCACGAGAGTTAGAAAAGGGAACAAGTCGGAGGCACCCTTGGGCGATGATACGAAAATACTGACACGCGGCCGAGGATTGATCCGCGACACGTGCCCTCAATGCTGCAATCAACGTGGATGAGTGACGTTGCACGAGACGAGACCCGCAGCCCGATGCTTTATTTATGAACGATTTGAAAGCCTATCCTATATGGATCAGCACGGTGCGTGGCGTTTTAAAGGGAGGATCCGCTGTTTGACGATCCGATAAAGGGCATCGCTGATATTCCCTTCCCTTTTTTTTTTTTTTTTTTTTTAATGAGTTGAACCGGCGAATTTGAACGATAAACGAATGGGGAGGTGTTTATGCGAGCGAATTGTAGTTGCCAGTTTATATCGAAATTAAATTATTTAAAGATGAATCTAATAGAAGACAGAAGAGAGATTAAATCATTTGGAATTTGAAACCTCGTCCTCTCTGTGAACACTTTAACTGCGAACACGACGTTTCCAAAACGTCGTATCGCTTCGAACACGATACACTTTCGTGGACACTTTCGATGAATGAAGGACAGAGACGCGAGACGTTAAAAGCATTTAAAACAAGCAATAAAGGGACAATCGATCACGTCCACAAAGGGCCTGCCTGGAACGGTTTTGAAGGGGAGGGAGAAATCTCAGTAACCACGACAACGAGACGGGGACGAGGGATATTTTCGTGATATCCACTTATCCGTGCCGGCCACCAGGAGCACCCACGGCGCGGATCGTGAGGCGTGGGTCGCGAAATTTTCATCCTCGCCCCACGAATTATTCGATAGGAGGGCCAGTTTCCACCGAGATCTACGGCTTCTTTTGTCCGCTCGAATTGGCCAACCCTCGCGACAAAGATGCCTCTAAATTGAAAAATCCATCCGTGAAACGGGTGGACAGTTCTGGTTGGGTTGCGGCCTGTCCCTCGTGCAATCGCCGTTGAAGAGATCACACCACCGCATAGAATTGTGAAAACCACTTGTCCGACCATACAAATCCATTCCGTATATATCCTGATCTTGGCCAGCCTTGTTGAATAAGATTGATTCGCGCCTGAGCGATTTCGTTGAAATTTTGAAAAATGGAACGGATTTTCTTGTTAAAAATTTATTATTATCGGTGAAAAGATGTAAAAACGAAATTTTACTTTTCCTCTATTTCGACTTTTTCCTCCCTTCATTACCAGAGCGTATCACCGAAGGGTGATATTGGAGCATTGTGGAACGCTGGTTGGAGAAAAATATATAGCTAAAATAGGACGATGGACGCTGCGTTTTATGGTTAAACGGAGAGCAAAAATACCGAGGGGAATTTATGTCTTATTCCGAGCCCGGTCTACCGTGTTATTGATCCTTGATTAACTCGGTCCCTGGAATCCTTTTAATTTGCTCCGACTCCCAACATGCGCGAATATCGTCCCGTCCCTCGATTGAAAAATGGCACGTACGATTGCTTTCGTTTCGTGGAAACTTTCATGGTATGAAACACGTGGACCGAATCGCTATTGATTCGCTTATCAAGTCTGGAAAAAATTTATAAAATACGTTATCTTATTCTACATATTTTTTTTTTTTTCTACTATATAACAAGCTTCGAATTACTTGTTTGAAACTCTCTAAAACTCCTCTGTGACAAAAATATCTCTTCAAATTAATCAACTTGTAATTAAACTTCCTTTCCAAACATCTGGAAAGAACTCGCGACTGCTTCAATTTCTCAAATCCCTCCTCTCTTCGTCGACAACAAAAACACTCTTCTCCAACGAATCACCGCAGAGATCCCCATCCATATATATCCACCCCTGAGCTATCTAATTATTTCTATCCGATCAGGGACACTTGATCGAGCACGTAGTAGACCCAGTTCATCCACGTTTCAAAATTCGATTTTTCCCCGCCGCAATCTCCTCACCTGGGTTCACCTGCGTCGCATTTTTCACGGGGATTAGTCGCGACGATCGACGAGCCCCCCTTCCTCCCCCGCTTTTGTCAACGCGCACAGCCTCCTTTGCATCCGGCCTCCAATTCGGGAGGATTTGTTTCGCCACTTGGGGCGTTGTAAGCCGACACGAGACACCAACGCTCCCGGCTCCTAATAACGAGGAATTATCGCCGCGATACAATGAGCCCGCGGGAAATCCTCTTTGATGTCTACCACGGAAAATAATACCGCCCTAATAGAGCGAGATTACGTAGCAACGACGAGTGCGTCGCGACCGATCCTTTGGTTAACAGGTTACCAACCCTGATTCGTGCGCGTTCAATTCCGACTGATTCGCCAATTGGTTTTCGGGGACGAAAGAATTTTCGCGGAAATGAGGAAATTTTTGGTCTCTTCGAGAAGATTTTAAATTTGTATCGTAAGTGGTAAGTAGAGAATGGGAATTTTTGCTAGAGGAAATTTTTCTTTACAAATTGCGTGGAATTTTTAAAATTCGCTTTTATTAATTGTTAAAGAACGATTGTTAAAGATCTATACGTTATCAATAAGATCGTTGTAAGCAATATTTTCATATTATGCTGATATAAGATAAAACTTGATCTAAAACTTGATTAAAATTAGAAAAAATTTAAAATTCCGAATATAATTCTTTCAATTAAGGAATGAACGTTAGAGGCGTGTAATCTTACTTTTCAAAATTTAATATCTTAATTTTATAATGATTTAATATCTCCTCCCTTTTCTTCTTTCGCTTTCGCTCGCCCATTTCAAAGTGCACAAGATAAGTAACACACGCATTTTCAAAAAATGCAGATCGCCAAATCGAACGTATATTCATAATCTTAAATACTTTGAGTCATTACAACTGATCAAAATATCGAGCTAAAAGAAAAAGAAGCTTCAAGGAACACGATTTTCTCTCAGTTCTAAATTACTTTCATACGTAGGAATTTTTAATCTCAATAAATCATTCAATAAATCATCTTTATGAACACAATTACAAAAATGAAACGTTTAAAAATCTATTTTTAATTCATATATATATAAATTCTACCTTTACAATGTAATATACCTTCACAAACAAAACAAAAGGAAAATCCTTCTCGAAAGCGAAAGTTAATTCCATCACGCCTTGAACAAATCGAAGAAACCGTCCCCCGATCATCCCCAATCCCCCGCAAATTAAATCTCCCGCAAAGCCTTCTCCACTCCCTCCCTTATAGAAACGGCGATACAAAAATCACCGCGTTTCAATTACGCGACGGCTCGAAAAGCCGTGCGGGAAGAGCCGTGTTTTCGATTGCCGGCAACAATCGCAGACACGCCCTCCCCCTCGTTTCGGTCGCGCCTCCGCCTCCGTTTCGGGGCTTGCGACATCGGATGTATCAGAAGGCTAATTGTCTTTCGCTGTCAGTTGCAACCCCCCCCTATTTGGCCTTGTCCAAGGCACACGGCCCTCCGGGCAACGGCGATCTCGATCGCCGCGAGCACCGCCTCGAATTACACGCTGGAAAGGATAAAATAATTACACGTCGTCCCTCTCTTCCTTTCCTTCCTCGAAACGGATCGCGTGAAAAAAAAGAGAAACGAAGCGAAGAGAATCTCGGTTTATGCAAGCGTTTGGGAAAAACGAGTGTTTTAGAAGTCTCGATTGCGACTTTGACACACACACAGAATTAGATGGAAAGAGGAAGGATTTGTCAAAATTTTGAAAATGTGATAGGGATAAAAATCGGTCAAGATCGGTTAGAGAGACAATCGAGGGATGTGATTAGCGCGAAAATGCCATTTAGATTATATATATATTTTTTTTTCTAGCGGAGCGTACGATAACACCCTTCACCCTTGTTGGCAAAAGGGGTGTGGACTATGACACGTGCTATAACGGGCGTTATTATGCCGTGTTGCATAATTTAATTCTTCCTCGCGCTCCACGATCCGATGATAAATATACCGTGGCCATTGATTGTTACCTGTCTCCTATCTCGTATCGCGAAAATTATCGCGTTCCTCTCGTATAGGGGGGGTAATCGCAGGTGTACGCGAAACGTGAAAAGGGTGCAATGAAAGATACGCGTGAAAGTGAACGACTCTTGTGGAAAACGTGTGTTTAACGTGTGGAAACGACTCTTTTGAGGGGGAATACATTCCGTTTGCACCTCCACCCATCTTTATTGCTACCGAAATATTTACTCCTTCTTACTTATAAAAACTCGATATTCCCTTTTTTTAGAGATCCCAGAAATAATTTATCCTTCGAACGATCGTAGTCGATCGCGAATAAAGATATTGTAATGAAGGTATCATCGACATCGTAACAATATCCCTCCTATTATTAAAAAACCTTCGTGTTGCTGTTGTACATCCTGTTACGTGTACGTTGCTTGACACCGTATCCGATCTTCCATTCTCCGTGGAAAAAAGAAGAAGGAATCACAGCGTATAATACGCGAGTACACGGAGTGGCATGGAGGCAGGAAATCGAGACGAGATAAAATACAATTTATCGAGGCGCGTAACTGAGACATAAAGCGGTTGGTACAAGCGGCGCGCAGATTCATTGGACAAGTTGGCCTAACGGCGCCCCATGCTGTTTCCACAAATGGCGGTCTGCGCCAGTAAACATCGGCGTTCACCGTCGGCTCACGACTTCCTGTTATGAGCAACTCCCGTACAGGTGGATAGAAAATATACCTATGGGGGCATTCGGTGACGAAATAAACGACGCTGGTCGGAAACCTGTGTACACCATACCGTGCCTTCCCATCGAGCGAAGATTCTTGGGATGCGCGGTAATCCACAATGAATTTGCGCACCGTTCGATACACGCTCCTCCTTTATCCGTTGGCAAATTGAAATTCGATGTTGGATCGTCGGACAATTATCGTTTAAGGCTCGATGCGTCTTTCCAATTTTCACGAAGATAATATTTTATTCGAATCACGTTTAACGAGGTATTTATTGGTCTTGGGCTTGGGCTTTGAACGTTCAACAAGCGGAATTACGGCGACGCGTAAGTGGAAAATCGGAGGGGAATCGGACCCGGGATAATCCTCTGTCGCGATTTCCCTGAAATACGTGCAATTAATATCTCAACTGTCCATGCGTTTCTCGCGCGCAGTTTTGTTTAAAAATTACCTCGGCAAAGAATGCGATCTTATCTTTCCGCCAAATGTTCCATTCGGATTTCGCCGCGTCGTTTTCCACGCTATTCCACGGATCTCTTTCGAGCATCGCCCCGCTGTTTACTTTATCGTATCGTGGAAATCCCTTCTTTCTCAAGTATTCTTGATAGCTCATAGCCGGGAACTGAACCGTATTCCGGATCGGCGCCTCTTGCGGTCCCGCACTTTCGATCGGAATGTACTTCCTCGAGTCCCCGCCTACTATCCTCTCCTTCGCGTCGATCTTCGAATAATCGTCGACTGTAGAAACGATACGAAACGTAAGTTAAATCATGTTTTCCAAACTTCCATCTACTTGCACTTTTTATTTTACAATTTTCCTCCTCTTACCAACCTACCTCTCTTCTTACCAACGACGATTCCATTCCTATATTTTCCGCCTCGAATCCTGTTGAAGAGCCTGAAGAATCCTCCGTTGTAATTATTCAAGTAATGAACCAACCCGTGCATGTCCCTCGGACACTTTGGGAACGCTTGGTAGCACGGCTCGGAACTTCCTCGATTGCTGTATCCAAGGATCATAGCTGTTCCAAAGTTCAACAATGGAGACGTGCCACCGACGTCGATTTTGGCCAGCCAGCTGAAAAGAAAAAAAAAAGCAGGATCGATCATCCCCGTTCGCTTTCCCTCCAAAAGGAGGAGAGAGATTGAACCGAGGAAACACGTACTCGGTGAACACGTTTCGTCCGAGGAACTGGAAGGATCCCTGCTCGCCTAACGATCGTCCAGGAAGTTTTCCACTCGCCATCTCGCACAGTATCCTTGCCACGCACTTGTAGTCGTCGTGGCGGGATATCGTGGACAGAGCTTGAGCGAGGAAATTCAGCTGAAATCCCGCGGAAAGAACGGTCGTTCCGCTCGGATAATTCAATTGCTGATTGCCGGAAGTCGAGTAAGCCGGAAGAGAGCCGCTCTGATGCGACTGCAAGCAGAAAAGTTTGCGGGATTTTCCGATGCAGATTTTTTTATCGGTCAATCCTCTCTTTTCTTCTTTCTTTTTTTTTTTTTTTGGTAATAGCGTGAACATTGCCATGAACGTTAAACGAAGGAATTTATTTCTTCAACGCGATGGTTCAGGCGAAAATTTGGATTTCTCTGGAATATCGATTGTTGGTGGGTAGTAATCGGTAGTATTTCATACATCTTTCGTAAAAAATTATAATTGGTAATACGTTAGATTGTTTACGAGTGGTAATTGGAGGATCCATTGCCTGCACGCGTTGGATATTAAATTTCTGTGGGAATAATTTATTAACAATTTAAGAACGTAACCGGCTAATAAACTCGCGTGATGTCTTTTACGATTCGACGCGCGATCGTTGTATCATTTATCTTTCGATTCTCGAATAAAACAATTCTCACGGCAATTTTGCACTCGAGATATTATTCAAATTCGAGATTAAAGAGTCTTTATAACGGGGCAAGAAATTCAATTAATGGCGTAAAACGTACCGTAGCAGGTGTGTTGAAAATATTCGAGAGAACGTCGACGAAGGAGATCTGTCTGCCCGTGGATCCATTCCGTTCACCATTCGTCGCACTCGCGCTTTCTCCACCAACCACGAGATCGACCGCCAATTCGTCGATACACCTACGCGACCAACGATGCTTCCTCACGCTTCCTTCTCATTTATCGTAATTTCAAATACTTACCGCAATAAATCGGACGCACTGTGATTGTTTCGCGCTTCGTCAAAGTCGCAGTAAACAGATCCGTCCGTTTCACGACGAATCCTTCTTTGATCCTCGCCAACGGTTTCGGAACAAACAAGAAGGAGGATAAAAATAGACCCGTACGCGAACCCGTACTCACTTTTCACCGCGTACATCTTTCAAAAATTCTTGTCCCCAATTTTTCTATCCGATATTCTTAATTTAGAAAATCTTTAAAATCCATCTCGAGTTTAACCTCGAATTTTCACGATTACCAAATCGTGGGATTTGGTAAAAAAAAAAAAGGTGGAATAAAAAAATTGTAATTGTTTGGAAGCAAGTCGCTGCTTCGTCGGTAAAATACACCGGTGTTTCGCTTCGCGGATGATCGTGTCACAGTTCCACGGCAACTGAAACTTTCTTCGAAACCTCGTTCCTCCGTCGTACACGGGCGTAGGTAGAAAGAAACGTCATCGTGGGCTACTCTCACTTCGCGTGACCGTTTTTCGCGCGCGCTCGAGGATGCTCGCATTCCACGCTTCATTCCGGACAAAGAAAGAAGATAAATCTCGCGTGTCTTGTTTTTTTTTCTCTCTCTTTTTTCAAATTATTTTATTAATTCAATAATCAACTAGCACAACTAAGCCGTGACGTTTAAGGAAGCTCTAACAAATTTTCTAGAAAAATTTCAGAAGAAAAGTTGCATTATTATTCGATTCGTTGAAAACTTAACATTCGTTATTAAATGAACGTTTCGTTTGAATTGTTAGAACTATGCCTCGCACGTTCACATTCCACTCCATTTAAATTTCACCGTAACAATAAAGTACAGATTAACGAATAAATCGTGTTGGAGAAACGACAATCGTCGGACGATAAACAATTAATTATAACGCTCTGATCATCGCCAGCCTTTCTCCATCTATCCTTCGCTTCAACTCTCGGCCGCGAGGAAACGGCGAATTTCAAACGGAAACACGATTATTTACAACCGGTGCTCGCAAATGGCGTGTACGGTGTTTTACAGTTAATCCGAGAGCGTGGCCTCGTCGCAGCCTCTTCCTCGTTTCGCCAACTGGTGACAGAGTCGCGGGCTGCCTATGATGTCGCCCAGGAACACGCTCAATAAATAATTCTCCTTCATCGGGATCGGCGATGATTTGTACTCGCTGTAAAACGACGAATACCACACGTTACCATCTAATGAACCCGATTGTTGAAAGCGATTACGACTCCCCCCAGCTAAATATATAAATATCGCGTATGGAGTTGCAAAGTAACTAGATCTTTTTTTCTTTTGCTGGTGGAACGATGGGTATATCCTTGGATCGTTGGTGTTTATGGGGAGATTAAACTTAGGAATTTATGATCTCGTTTTAAGTCTCATTTGTGTAATCTACTTCGCAACTGTCCAACTACCGTTTCCTTTCCTTTTTTTTTTTTTTTTTTCGATCAAATGCTCTTCCGTCATTTTTCACTTTAGACAAATCTTGGAGTTTGGGGGGAAGAAGAGAAACTCAAATTGACGAACTCTTGTCACGTGTATTCAATTTTCTAAGAAAATAATGGTTTCGGTAATCGTTAATAAGAGAATTATATTAACTTTCAATTAAAATGGAGTTCCATCATTTTCCTCAAAATATCCACAAATTTCCAATTTCTTCTCTTCCCAAACTGATCGCCCTTAAACCTCCATTCCTCAGACGATTCCTGCGAAGGACTACCCGAGGATCCCTCATGCACGCTCCGTTAACCTTTCTCTCGAAAACCTTTCTCCACCAGCTTTTCTCGATCCTCGATACATCCTCCCCTTCCATGTCTCGTCCGCACACAGGTGACAGAAGCGATTAACCGATTTCGACGACACGCGCTGGCCATCTCGACACCGTCGAATCGGCAGATAAGCCGCTCGGATTCGAATGGAGGCACGGTGAACAGACGGTGGGGGTGGGGCAGAGTTATCAGGATGCATTAGGTCGCTCGTGGAGACCGCCATTAAGGGCTATCTGCCGGTGGCGGTCTTACTTACAACTGAATTTAGTGCAACCTCGTGGCAAGAATCGGTAGCCACGGATTTCTATTAGCTCTCTGCTTGCTCTTCTTGGACGACAACATTTGTCCTCACGACAACAATTATCGGGAAAACGTTTCTGTCGACGAGAGAGGATTGTTTCGCGAGACCTCTTCGACCTCTTTGATTTTACATTTCGACGTTTTACGAGCAAGTGAATGTTTGTCAAGAAGGAAGTTACGACTAGAGGAATCGATGGAAGAGGGAGTGGAGGGGGATAGCACGCAGTAAGGAGAGATGCAAAATCGCTTTGAAGTTGATTATTCGTGGTTTGATGAGCTGTTATCGAGCTAGGGAATCAAATTGATGATACGTTGGATAATTTATAAATTTTGCTATGAATTTTGTTTAATTATTGGTTAATAAAATGTTATATTTTACATGGAGATTTAATGAAAGATTTTCATTTCAATTTCTAGAAATGAATCCGAATCTTCTCGATATACATGTAGTAGATGGAAAGTGTGATTCAATTCGATTTCGAGGCTTTTCTCAATATTTGCATAAGTTTCGTCACCTGTTCGAGCTTAGAATATTAACGAATTTTCGCGTGATTCGCAATTATTTATTAAAAAATTTCTATTCCTATAAAATTGCGTAACGAAGTGAAAATATTTCGGTAATAGGAATAAGGAAAAAGCGTGTCAAAAAGATACGACCTTTGCAAAGTTTTTCTCATCTCAATCGTACCTCTAACATATATTTAATTTTAATTACATAATTCTTCAAAATTATACAAAAAGAAACAATTTCATAATTTTTCCAAAGTCGAATAAATATTTAATACTTTTCAACAAAATATAAACAATTCTATACCTTTTATACCTTATTTTCCTTAAATCCAGAGATCAAAAGTTATTAAAATAGATTACATCGAGAAAAAACACGTGGAAAAAACGCAACGAGAAAAAAGCCTACACTTTGTTCCACGATTGACATCATCGTCACGTCGTGTAGAGAACGAAAAAAAAAAAGAAGAAAAAAAGATCAGAAGAAGAAGAAGACGAGCAAGTGACAGGGGACACAGTTTCACAGTTGGCCGAGCAAATGGGCCAGTAATTTTCCACGATGCATTAACGAGCCCGTTATTAAGCTCCCTATCCGCGACTCGATCGAGCGAAACAAAGGTGGAAAACCAGTCTCCTCCATACCTTTTAACCGTGAACTTCGGGGTCGTGGTTACGCAAGCGACTACGTGGAATCGAGATGATCTCATTATCGATCGCCCTTATTTCATCTCATCCATCATCGAACGGCTGGCTGTGCAACGATCGATCGTCATTCGAGAAAAAGATCGTTCTTCGTGCATGTAGAGTGGAGATATATATAAAACCGATCACAGTGGATAACAAATACGATGCAAATTGATTGGCGATGAAGAAAGATGACGACGTTTTATAATATTAAGAGGATGCAAAGTGCGTACGTCGAGTCGATCGAGTCCAGGAACTTACGATGTCGATGGTGAATGAGAGAGTGTGTGTGTGCGTAACGTGCGTTCAGATCGATTCGTTTCTTTCTCAACCTTTGTTTCGTAGTTTCAGCTTGCACGTGAGGCGAAGTTGAAGTTGGAAGGGAGAGAAAAAATTGGGTCGTAAGGGAAATCAGTAGTACTGTAAAGTAGCGTAGATAGTAGACGTAGAAAGTGGGTTAGATTTTGCGGCGAAATTTGATTCTTATGTAGAGGATATAGAGAAGGAAAATAAAAGGAGTATTGCTTGATGGCAGGTTTGAGAAATAGAGCGGTACGCATGTACGTACGCGTATATAATTTGTGCAAAAATTGGAATGGCTTAAGTGATATGGTGTAATAGTTATCGATAGAGTTCCACGCAATAAATAAATATCTAAATGGTTTAAATCAATTTCATTTAATTGTTGGATTGAATAAAAAAAGAAAGGTACCTGAAAACGATGTCCCAATCCAAAACACGTTCCCTGCTTCGTTTCTGCAGAGTTCGGGTAGCGTATTTCGCGCAAATTCTCTCGTAAACGCACACGTTGTTGCCCAATTCCGATACCAATTTCTTCTCCACTTGGTCGACATTGAGGATCTCTTCGTCGTGGACCAGAGGAAGATCTCGTCTCACTCGGCTGACGTAAGTTTCTGAAAGCGAAAGGCAAATACGAGGATAAATATCAAAATTGTTTCGCAATCGATAAAATAACATTTCGTTTTTTTCTTTTTTTAATTATCTTCGTTGATCCATACGAATTAATTTCTTATTCCTTCATCCTCGCTTACTTTACAAAATTTTATTTTTAATCCTTTATTTTTTCTTCGATCGTCATTTTCACGAATCATCGCCGTCGAATCGAGCTAATGCACTATGCAGGTTCCAAATACAAACTGTCAAACACGTGGACGAGTTATTGTCATCAATCCAAGCGACGATCCTCGTTTCCATCGTTCAAAAAATCGTTAAATAACTACCCTTATTGGACTAATGACCAATCTGACCTCCTCAACGTTCACTTTAACGAATATTGACGTATCCATCCGCGGTCGCTTGTTCCCCTGCCATTGCTCGTCAAATTTCGGACAGCTAAATTCCCCGTCCTGTCGAATTATCGAAATCTCTTTATCCGAATGGAACAAACTCTTATCGATTTTATTCGATTAAACCAATTCAAAATTATAATTATCCAATGACAAGTTTCAAGTATCCAGCTTCGTCTCGAGAAATTTTAATTCCATTGCCAAAAGTGATATTGTAATTTGTATTATCTTCCGAACAGATCGAAAGGAGAAATTTTTCCACGTTCAGAGAGTCATGCTTTAATTAGAAGCAGTCTCGTCAAAAGGTAACGTTCCAGGAAGAACAACGACCATCACGCGCGTTTATTCCTAACAGAGAAGTCGCAACAAGTGGAACACTTTCCCTTTCTCGCCGCTCGTCCATTCGATTCACGCTTCGATACTACGAGCCGGATGGATTACTTGCACGATGAAGTTCAGCCTCTTTCCGCAATTGCGATCGATCAATGCGAAGAGCGTTGAACTTGGCCGCGAGAACGAGTACAGATTTCTCGATTGTTTAAAGTTTAATTGGACGAAACCGATTTAATTGCAGGATAATTGTGAGTGGTATGATATCGATCGACGATTTCTCGTTCGTTTGGAACATGTTTTATGATTGAATTATTTTCGTTTTTAGCGGCGATCCCATACCTGGGTTCAATGAATAGGCGAGTTTCTTCACGAAGTTGGTGAGCCTCACAGTGGCTATGATCACCGGGAAACCGATCAGTTGTACGGGAAGATTGAACAATGGTTCCTCTGGGCTCGGTGCGGCGTCCACCAACGTCACTGCCAACAACCAACAGCCAAGAATGGAAGAAGCTCGCGTCACTCGCATCTTGGAACGCTATAACGACAAATCAGTTAAGTTAATTATTCGCCGATTCTTCGTTTACTTAGAGAGTAAACGATTTAATACGTTTCGACGAGAAATCCTTGGCACAATTGCTGTAATGAAAGGACGATATATTTATCTCGAAGGTACAGAAAAATTCTATAATTAGTATGCATCAAAGAATAATTCCATCTATTATAACGAGATCCAATACATACTTGGTCGCAGAAATTCGATACGCATAATTCAAAGGAGATATAAAAATCAATTCGAACGTGCATATTATCCAACACACACAAATTCTATTGAAAAAATTCAAAATGCCAAACGTATCGAATCGAAAAAAATTCAGAGATCGAAATCGACTCGATACAAACACTTGGAAAATCACCGGTTCAAAATGTCTCAATGAAGCGCCTCCTAAACCGCACTCAACTATTCATTGAAAGGAATCCGAAACGATTTCGAGACCTGTATTCACGCGACGATCGATCGGCAGAGGAGCACAGTGACGGAAACGTGACTGGTTGTTCCTTTGGTAAAAACTCGTGACCGAGTGTTCCTCTCGTCGGCTCGTAGGCCTCGTTCGACGCTGGTTCGCCGCGTGCGAGAGAAAGTGTTCGACCCCTTCCTTCGACGAGCGGCGTTCGAACGATCGGCCGCGACCGATTGCGACATTTAGTGCGCCACCAGGAACCGCACGCGATCCTCTTCCACCAGGATTCGACCCTCGCCAAGGTCGTCGCCACTATTTCCAGTCGTTCCAACTCTTGGTCGCTTTCCACGGATGGAAAGTTCGTTCGTCGAATGCCTCGAAGGAAATCGAAAGGTCCCGTGTGGTGATGGGGTTAAACGAGGCGAGTTAAACCGGCGGGCTTTGGGAGTGGCCGCGAGACCGTCGAGCGGAAACGTGGCATTTCGAGTTCGCTTCGAGAAACGAATATTTGAAAAAAAAAAAAAGAAAAGAAAGAAAGAAAGGAAAGACTCGTCCGTCGATGGATTTATATCTTCGATTCGAGGAAAGGTGAAGGGTGTGAGAGTGAGAGTTAAAAGTTTTTCATTGAAAGTCGGCTGGTATATCGGAGGCTGGTGTATCGATAAGTGTACGAATTCGAGGAAGAAAGTGAAAGTGAAAGAAGGTAGCTATATAAATTTAGCGAGAACGTAAGATTTACGGAATCTTTAAAGATATATGTATATATAAAGAGAGAGAGAGAGAGAGAGAGAGAGAGAGAGAGAGAGAGAGAGAGAGAGAGAGAGTAGTAGTAATTATATATATATATATATATATATATAG